CCTGAGGGACCCGGCTCCCCAGGGAGCCAGCCTGCAGTGCCCACCTCTTCCTCTGAGGGGCCTTTGATGGCTCAGCCGCCTGACCATCAGCTCAGCGACCCAGCTACCTGAGTTCCACTCTGACCTGCCGTCCTCTCCCCCTCCCCTCCTTGGCCCTCTGGATGATCCTGCAATGGAGCCCACCCAGCAGGTGCGAGGTGGAGCCCAAGACAGCTGGGCACTTGGGAGGGCAGAGCAGGTCTGACCCTTCAGGACAGGGGGCAGGTTTGTCTCCCCACACTCCAGGCCCAAAGTAAATTATGGCAGTGCCAGGATCCCAGATAAGAAGAAAGTAGGAAAAAGCTTCCTCATTTCAGGGTGAAGATTTTCAAAGCATTGAAGCTAAGGGGAAACCTTTGTTGAAAAGACAGAAATTTGATTACAAGAAGAATAAAACGTCATTGCAGAAATCATTTTTAATAAAAATTTGAGCTGTGAAGTGGATTTTTCCCTGGTACCGTGGCATGAATCCTAACTCATGTGAATCCGTGTTACCTCCCCAGTCAGGCCACAGTACTGCTGTCTCCCCAGTCTTCCCTGTGGGCCCTCTCCTCTCTTGGGATTATCCACCAATAGGCTCACAGGGCAGGAACCCCCTGGCACTGTCTCTGCCCACTGGGTGGCACCTGGGAGCCGCTCCTGGGGCTCCGTCTTGCACACAGCCCCACCTGTTCCCTAAGCACTGCGGAGGGGAGGGACTCCTGCTCTGGGCTTGGGAGAGATGCCTGGGGTCCCTGTGCCCTCCCGTTATTTCCACCCCAGGGGAGTCACCCCTTCTTTAGACACTGGCACTAGGAACGGACTGCCAGAAGGGCCCATGGCCCTGCTGGACCCCCGGGCTGGACCTGGGCCAGCACTGCATTTCCACCTGGCCCCCTACAGGGCGCATGAGGGGGTGCGGCTCCCCAAGGTCAGTGTGAGTTGGACCTTCCAGGACACAGCCCTGGTTCCTGCCTGCTTCCCTTTCCCAACTGCCTGTGACTCAGGTGAGTGTCCATTGTCCCCGTGGGAGCCAACTCATGTGACAGTCACTGCCTGTGGCACTGGGGGCTGCTCCCTTCCCAGGGTGTCTCTGGGCTGAGCGGGCTCAGGTGTGGGGGGAAGCTAGCCCCTCCTGGGGCGGGGCCCAGGGCTCTCACCATCCTTCCTGATCTCTGTGGTCATGTACCTGTGGCCACCGCTGCCCCTGTCCTGGGAGCCCCCGTTCTCCTGATCCTCTCCTGGGCCCTCCCAGGCTCTGGGGCCCAGCTCTGAGCCAGTCATGGAGAGTGTCCTCAGCTGGGTGCGGGCGGCTCCTGCAGCCCCTGACCAGGGCGTCAGGATGGAATGGGGCCTGGATCCCAGAGCCAGCCAGACTGCTGCGCTCTGTGGGCTCCTTGATGTCCCCTGCAGCTCTGCTGGGCGCCACTGTCATCTGAGCTCCCAGGCCCCATGCCTGTGTCACACCAGGCAGGCTCCAGGCCAAGGGAGAGGGCGTCCCCATCCAGCCTCTCCCTTAACCAGCTGGGTGAGGGACTGTCTGCTCCAGCCCCTTGGGAACAAATGTGCTCTGGGTCCTGCCCTGCAGGTCACCCATGCCCGACTGACCTTCAGTGGAAAGGCCCCATTCCTTCTCAGGACAGCAACCCCCAGGGGACAGTCACCAGCTGGCCCATAGCTGGGCCTGTGACCCCCAGGAAAAGAGCATTGTCCCACTAGGTTTGGTCTTTGTGGAGACCTCTGCATGGCCTCAGGTGAGGGGCCTGTGCCAGTGTCCACCAGGCTCGTGGCCACCAGAGAGGCTCGGGTAGATGGGGATCACGGTTCTCAAGGCACTGACCTGGGTGACCTGGTCCCAGGCCCCACAGCCCTGGCTTGGTGTGTGCGACCCTGGGGAATCGCTAGGCACAGATGTGTCCCCCTCTGAAATTCTGCCATCTTCCTTTAGCTCCTGAGCCTGGTCCTCGGCTCTGACTACTTCTGGGGACCAAGATGCAGCTCTGCTTGAAGGCCACGTTAGAGCGTGTTGGTCGGCTCAGGCTGCAGCTGTAATACTCATGGACCATGGGGCTCATAAACAGCAGGAATTCATTTCTTGCCATTGTGGAGGCTGGAAGTGTCCGTGTCTGCTGAGGACCTGCTTTATGGTTCATGGGTGGCGCCTTCTCATTGTGTCCTCATGTGGAGGAAGGGAAGGAAGAGCCCTGGCCTTCTCAGCACCTACGGGGGCCCCAATCCCATCCATGAAGGCTCCACCCCATGCCCAGTAGGGCTGCCCCTCCTGACACCTTCACCAGGGGTCACCAGGGGGTCAGGTTCAACAAACGAGTCTGGAGGACACAGACCCCCAGCCCTTGTAAAAGCCCTCTGACTTTCACACCCTGACTTGACTCAGACCACAAGAGTGTCCCTCTATCTCCTTAGCACTTGGTGGCTTTGGTCAGCCAACTCCAAACTTGTCATGATCTCTGTTCCCTGCAGCTCTGAATGCCGGAGACACTGTGCACGGGGACGCCTCTTCCCCTGCAGCTCATCCTGGCTCACCCTGGTAGAATTGTTGGGGGCTCTCACTCCTCACTGTGCCCCAGCCTGGGTCCTTGTGGCAGCTGAGCGGTGACGGATCCAACTCCATTGTCCCAGTTTTGGTCCCTAAGACCACCTTGGTCTCCACTGTCTCGGCTTAGGCATCTTAGCAGGAGACCCTCACACAAAATTTAGGCATGCTCCCAGGAAATGTCCATTGGTCAGAAGGAGGACCTCAGGGAAGCGGAGGTGGTCCATGCTATGTCATCTGGAAAGTTCCATTGTGGGAACTGATCTTCAGCTGAGGGGAAGGGGAGCTGCTGGAGGACAGGTGTCATCCGGGTCGTGACAAGCCAGTGCAGCTGTCAGCCCCTTCACTGTGCTCATGGGGATGGACACAGGAAGAGCAAGAGCGTGGTGATTATGTAAGATTTTTCTCATTTTTAAGCTTTTTTAATGGCTTAGACGAGGTTAAGGGGTTATAGTCCAGTCAATGCAGAGTGTGTGACACCCAGAAGAGAAAGGCCAGAGGGGACAAAGGCTTTTGTCCAGAGGCACAGTGCTGTTTCAGGATGGGCTGTGGTGTGTGCACCATAAACCCCAAAGGAACCATTGTCACAATCAGCTGTAGTGTCACTGTGACCAAAAGGCCTGTTGAGAAGGAAAAGTCGATTGTGGCTCATGGTTTCAGAGGTTCCGTCCATGGTCGGTGGTCCGCCCCTGGCTCTGGGCCCAAGGTGAGCAGGGCATTATGGCCTGCTTTCAGAGCCCTGGGATCTGGCCCAGCACCCTCCCGGGGCCACCTTGAACCATAACCAGAGCCTCCTGGAGCCTTCTACACCAGGGACTCGCCCCCCAGCCCTAGCACCATCCGGAAGCCCCCATCCAAGATGGACTCACATCCACAGTTGGGCAACAGCCACCTCCTCAGCTCCTCTACAGAGCTCAGCCTTGGGCTCCACTGACCTGGCTTCAACCCACAGCTGGGCCTCCATAGCCCCATGACAGGCAGGCTCATGGGTGACTTCTCAAAGCCTGTTTCCTGAATTGAAAATAGGTCAGTAACCACGCCCCATGATTGTATTCTGGGAGTAAAATAAGGAGATGAAGGGGCTAAAGTGCTGGACCCAGGAGGTCCACTGGCCAGGACCATCAGCAGGGATAAGAGATGTATTCTCCATGCA